ACCCATCTTGGCAAGCAAGACCTCATCCTGGGGTATTCCTGGTTGCGGAAACATAACCCAGAGATCAATTGGGAAACCAAGGAGGTCAAGATGACACGGTGCCCCCGCAATTGCTCGACCTGCCGTGAGGAAGAGCGGGTCGAACGGACCGAGTTGCGGCGACTCCGGTCGCTTCAGAAGCGTCTCCGCTCCGGCCCGTTCCCCTCGGTCTGCGCCATGGACCTTTCTGGGTCTGATGACGGAGACGATTCCGTCTCCGGGGACGACTCCGGCCTGCCTGATCTGACGCCGGACTCCGACGACGACGATGACGATGGTCAGCTTGAAGATGGTGACCGCATCTTCTACACCTCGTTCCGCCCCTCGGAGGAGATACGCTGGCAGTACTGTCTCGCAACGCCTGGCCGAAGCCTTCGCCAGGAACTCCGCCCCTCCGCCCTCCGAGATCCCGGACTGGGCTAAGGAGTTCCAGGACGTCTTCAACAAGGAGTCCTTCGACACGCTACCGGAGCGGAGAGCCTGGGACCACGCCATTGAACTCGTCCCCGACGCTAAGCCCACCAACTGCAAGGTGTACCCCATCTCGCCCCTCGAGCAACGCGAGCTCGACGCGTTCATCGAGGAAGGGCTTTCGACGGGCCGGATTCGCCCCTCCAAGTCTCCGATGGCGTCTCCGGTCTTCTTCGTCAAGAAGAAGGACGGCGGACTCCGCTTCGTCCAGGACTACCGTGCTCTCAATGCGATGACTGTCAAAAACCGGTACCCCCTTCCGCTGATCAACGACCTCATCAACCGGCTCAAAGGCGCTCGTTACTTCACCAAACTCGACGTCCGTTGGGGCTTCAACAACGTCCGGATCAAGGAAGGTGACGAGTGGAAAGCGGCTTCCGGACTAACCGAGGCCTGTTCGAGCCCTTGGTAATGTATTTCGGCCTGACAAACTCTCCCCTGACGTTCCAAACGATGATGAATGACATTTTTCAGGACCTCATCCTCTCCGGAGACGTCATGATCTACCTTGACGACATCTTGATCGCCCATTCCGACCTCCGGAAACACCGGCAGATTGTCCAGGAGGTCTTACGGCGACTCCGGGAGCACAAGTTGTACCTTCGAGCGGAGAAGTGCGACTTTGAAAAATCGTCAATCGAGTACCTCGGAGTCATCATCTCCCACAACCACGTCGAAATGGACCCCGTCAAGGTCGCAGGCGTCTCCGCTTGGCCGACTCCGGAAAACAAGAAGGACATTCAGCAGTTCCTCGGGTTCGCTAACTTCTACCGCAGGTTCATTCGGGACTTCTCGACCCTTGCGCCCTCTTTTCGTGCTCACCAAGAAGGACCAGCAATGGACTTGGGGCGACGCGGAGGCCTCCGCGTTCCAAGCAATCAAGGACGCGGTCACCTCGGAACCGGTCCTGGCGATTCCGGACGACGCACGGCCTTTCCGACTCGAGGCGGACAGCTCTGATTATGCGACGGGGCGGTTCTTTCACAATCCGCCCCGGACGGGAAGTGGCACCCTGTAGCATTCTATTCCAAAAGCTTAAATGATGTCCAGCGCAACTACGAAATCCACGACAAGGAGATGCTCGCGATCATCCGCGCACTCGAGGAGTATAGACACTTCCTCGAGGGCGCCGCGCACCCTGTCGAGATTTGGACTGACCATAAGAATTTGGAGTACTTCAGGAAGACGCAACACCTCAACCGGAGACAGGCCCGGTGGTCTCTGTACCTCTCCCGGTTCGACTTCACGCTGCACCACAAGCCTGGCCGCGATATGGGTCGGCCTGACGCCCTCTCCCGGAGACCCGACCACGGAGTCGATTCCGACAACTCCGACGTCGTCCTTCTGCGGCCTGAACTCTTCCACGTCCGCGCACTCAAGGCGTTTCCGTTTCCGGTCCCGGCTCTGAACTCCTCCGTGACATCCGTGATGCCCTCTCCGGTGAGCCTGACCTGGAGGAGCCCGTCGCACTAGCGGCCCGGCAACTTCTTAAGGTTCAAGGTCAAGCTCGAGGCCCCCGCTCCTCACGTTCTGACGAGTGGGCCGTCTCCGGCGGTCTTCTCCATTTCCGAGGAAAGATCGTCGTACCAAAAGACAAGGACCTCCGGAGACGCATCATCGAGCTCTGCCATGACACCCGAGTCGCCGGACACGCAGGTCGTTTCAAGACCTTGGAGTTGGTCTCCCGGAACTACTGGTGGCCTCAGATGTCTCGCCATATCGGCCGGTATGTTGCGACCTGTGACTTGTGCTGTCGCACCAAGGCACTCCGGAGACTGCCCCACGGAGAGCTGCACCCCACGGAAACGCCCCCGAACGCTGGCATACCGTCTCCGTCGACTTCATCGTAGAGCTTCCCGAAGCCCATGGGTACGACGCGATCATGGTCGTCGTTGACACCCTCGGAAAGCGCGCCCACTTCTCAGAGTGTCATACGACGGTCGATGCAGTAGGGGCAGCCCGCCTCTACTACCGGAATGTCTGGCGGCACCATGGGACTCCGGAGAAGTACGTCTCCGACCGCGGCTCGCAGTTCATCGCGGACTTCACCCGAGAACTTTGGCGTCTAATCGGCATCAAGCCCGCCACGTCCACCGCGTACCACCCGCAGACAGACGGTCAGACAGAGCGCGTCAACCAGGAGCTGGAGCAGTACTTGCGGATCTTCACCAACTACCAGCAGGACGACTGGGATGAGCTGATTCCGGCCGCGGAGTTCGCCTACAACAACCACGTTCACTCCTCCACGCAGCAGGTCCCCTTCATGACGGACACGGGACGGCTCCCGCGCATGGGCTTCGAACCCGGAGTCCGTTCCGCCATGGAGTCAGTGAACGAGTTCCGCGACCGGATCGCCACTGGTGTTGCTGAAGCCAAGGCCGCGCTCACTAAGGCCAAAGAGGAGTACAAGCGCTACTACGACCGGAGACGGACTCCGTCTCCGGAGTTTAAGGTTGGCGACCGTGTTTGGCTGGATGCCTCTGACATCAGGACGACTCGCCCCTCGGAAAAGTTCTCCCATCGCCGCCTTGGACCGTTCAAGATAGTCGCGGAGATCAGCAAAGGTGCCTACAAGCTCGACCTCCCTCCGCGCTACTCGAAGCTCCACCCGGTCTTCCCCGTCGTCAAGCTCGAGCTCGCTCAGGACGACCCCCTTCGACGGACGCCCCGGCTACGACCAGCCCCTCCGGACCTCGAGGACGGAGTCCCGGAGTGGGAAGTAGAGGAAATCCTGGACGCAAGGGTGAGGTATAAGCGGCTGAACTACTTCGTCAGATGGAAAGGCTACGACGCATCGCACGACCAATGGGTCCGCTTCGACCGCGTCTTCGCCCCGGAGAAAATTGCGGAGTTCTATCGTAAGTACCCTGGCAAGCCACGACACATCGCCTCCGCGACCTTCGACTCGATTCCGTTCCGGTCTATGCGTCGGGACGCCGCATTCAAAGGGGGGTGATGTCAGGGGAACTCTCCTTTCGGCCCCTCGGAGACGCCTCCGATTCCGGTCCGACTCCGGTTCCGTCTCCGGTCCGGCCCTCCATCTCGCCCGCACAATCACCGATCCATCAACGCCCTCCCGACGGTCGCCCTGGGACCTCGCCTGCGACGCCGCCCAAGCCTTCTGTGCCCGACAGCGGCAGCTACGGACAAGCAGTATATAGTCAGCTACCTAGCAGGCGGACCCTTAGAGTTTCTTCTCTTTGGATCCTCCCCTGCTAGGTCAGCTTCATTTGTATTCGCTTACCAATGTTCACGCTTTGGATCCTCCCCTGCTAGGACCTTGATCTCAGGCCTCCGGGGTTGCCCTTACAACAGATAAGAACTCATTAAGATATGACCCTACCACTGTTTTGAAAACTCAGGGTTGGGTCAGTAATTTGCATTTTCTGACTCAACCATTGACTTTGAAGCATAGGTCTAAACTGAATAGTAACATGTATTAAGGGTCCCTACAATCTGGTAATATTTATTAGAAAGTTTGTTGAAAGTCATTACAAAGTTGTTGTCCCATTTATGCTAATTATGTATTTAAATATGTAGCTGGAGACTGAACTTGTAAGGTCTACCCGGAGGTCAGACCCTTGGGGTTGACTTGAGGGTTAACTTGAGGGTTGACTCTCAAGTCACTGATATACATATAATATCTCTTACAATTTCTCCAATGTATATACTGACAGTTTTAATCACAATTTCTGGCATGAATAAATTTGAGATTTCAACAATAATTTCATTGTACTGTAAACCTACAGTTTCAGCAGTGGAGAAATGCAAATAGAAACAAAGAGAATCTATGTGCATTTCTCCTCTGCTGATTTCCTTTGTATCATCTGTGCTGAAACTGACAGTGAAATCCTTTGTTTCACTGTCAGTTTCGCCACATTTGATCCGCGTGATATCATGACCAAATATATGTGCACAGATATCAACCATTTCAGGAATGGTTTCAGTCTCATAGATAGTTTTCATCTCAGACTGTCTAAAACTAGTATATATTTGACTAAAATCATTCTCAGTTTCAAAAATGTATATTTTGGGCAAATCTCCATAGGTTGATTTGGTTCTAGATTCTACCAGAATCTAGAACAGTTTCTACTTCAAGGGATATTTTACCAAATCCGGTGTGAGAGTGGTGAATATATGTCTATCTGTCTTAGAATTGACGAAGAAGGTTGGACACGTGTCCAGAACATTACTGGAAGTCCAATTTTGTGCTGCAACTGGTCCAAACTTTGGTAGCAGATGAACACTTCGGCGAATATTCTCCACCGGAACGATACTTGCAGTTCTTTCCCCATTTTTGAGAGATTGTTTGACACGATAGAAGTGATGCCATGCCTCTGGGGCTGATGCAAAGGGTGAAAACCATTCCACATAGGCCAGATGTGATGGCAAAGCATCTGCACCAGAGGACAGTAGATTGGCAGCCAGACGAGCAGGTATGCTGAACACTACCCGAACCTGTGCCACTCGATAACCTAGATTTTTTAGCACTAAGATATATAAAGACTAATTATAAGCATACCTTTTGTTCCAGTGAGCTCCCCTGTACCATCATTGACTAAGACTGTGTCAAAACAGGCCGGAATTATCTTTCCCATATTGGTCGACCGTGCTGGCTCAACATGCACCGAGTCAACAATATTGTCGGAGGGACCGCCAAGAGTGAATGGATCTGGGGTTGTGAACTTGATTCGATGGTAGACTGGGAGACGATTGAATGGGAGATGTAAGCGTTCAGCCCTGGACTGAATCTGTGCAGGAGAAAGCAAATGTGTTGTGTCCTCGTGTCCTGATGGCGGATGAGGAACCGGGCAAGAGCCGCACGGAATGAGGTTGCTCCATAGGCACTTGATAGTGTGTTGAATGTAACAGCCTTTTGGGTAGGGTGCTTTGCCATAAGCAGGGTATGCTCATAGACAATGCCAGGATTCAGCTTGGGTGGAGTGGGAGGGGGAGGACAGCCGTCAAGTTTCCAGCGGATGAACTTTGCATGTCGAATGACTTTTTCCTTTCGTTCAAGCCAGAGCGTCATTTGAGGGAATTCGTCCTTGAAATTGGTTGAGCGATAGGCATCCTTGGCCAGATCGATATGTAAGCGTTCAGTGTACTCGGTGTTATAGTTGTCGGTTGTGCCAAAGAGTCGAATATAAGGGGAGTAATGAGAGCATCCATGGAGTTTGGGGAGGTTGAAGCTATCACGCACTCCGAGTTGAACAAAGATATCCTTGTTCTCGTGGAAAATTCGTAGAGAGTCATTGAGCAGTTGCAAGGTTTCGTCCGTATGCATAGGATATTGAGCAAGATAGACAAAATCCAAAATTCCACGGACCGCACCCATGAGCCGTCCAGATGAAAGTCCATCTGGCAGTGGAATATCGATGATTATACCGAGAATAAAACGAGAAATCTGGTCGTGTTCCCGACCAGTTACGCGTGAGAGACCAGAGATACCCTTCATAAAGAGGCAAATATTATGATTTGGTGGTAACCGTCGACAGCGTGCATCAATTTCCTCCTCTCCACAGCACGCTGTAACCCAAGCAATCAGATGCTTGATAATGCCTTGGTATAATTGATGAAGGATGTCGGGTGTGATGCAACGGAATATGTTTGTGTATGGAAGGTTCTCTTCTGCTCTTTATGTTCTTCCTTTTTCACTCCTTTCTCTCTTTTTCCCCTCTCTCTTTTGCCACCTCCCTTCCTTTCCTGCTCTTTCCATCCATCCATTTTCACCCTCTCCCCTCTTTCCCATCCTCTCTGTCCCAGCGCTCCGTGTGGGGTGTCCGCCGCTGCTTCGCGTTTGCCGGCCGCGCTTCGCTTTGGAGCGCTGCTCCTTTGGGGGGTCCGGCTGCTCGCTTATGGCATCGGTTCTCACCCAGTGGTGCGTCGTGCTGGCCGCAGGCTGCCCCCGAGTTTTGTCTCCCGCCCAGAGCTGCCTAAGTTGCCCTCTTGTGGTTGGGAGCTCCTCGGTGAGCGTCTCCTTTTTCCCGGAGTTGCCTAAGTTGCACTCTCGGGGCGGAGCGTCTCATTGTGGCCTTGCGGCCAAGCCTGGCACATTGATACCTATGTATCATGCGCTTATGCGCTCATACATGAATTTTTGCCTCCCTCGTCTCTTTGGAGATTTACGTATTCATATTCCCTACCTACCTACATGTACTACTCCCGACGGCCGGGCGCGACGAGCTAGCTTATTGCCAGCTAGCGGGGTGAGGCACGAGCCACCGCTAGCATTAGATAAGCTAGCGTGGGAGCGCTCGGCCAAAGCCGACACTGACATCATCTTTTAGCGGCTGACATCATTTCAGCGCTTGCTCGACACCACCATATTGTGTGGCTTCAAGACTTTTTTGCGCGTTCCCCGCCCACCCTCCTCACGCGCTTTTGGGGGGTCCGGCTGCTCGCTTATGGCATCGGTTCTCACCCAGTGGTGCGTTGTGCTGGCCGCAGGCTGCCCCGAGTTTTGTCTCCCGCCCAGAGCTGCCTAAGTTGCCCTCTTGTGGTTGGGAGCTCCTCGGTGAGCGTTCTTTTTCCCGGAGTTGCCTAAGTTGCACTCTCGGGGCGGAGTGTCTCATTGTGGCCTTGCGGCCAAGCCTGGCACATTGATACCTATGTATCATGCGCTTATGTGCTCATACATGAATTTTTGCCTCCCCTGTCTCTTTGGAGATTTACGTATTCATATTCCCTACCTACCTACATGTACTACTCCCGACGGCCGGGCACGACGAGCTAGCTTATCTTAAGTTTTGACTGATACAACCACTTGGGAACTTATGTTCTGCTGGAACTTAAGTTCTGACATATCTGTAGTGTGCATTGGCACTGCTGGCATAAAGAAGCCCATCCACTTAAGTCTCTAGTTCTTAGAACTCAAGTCCCATTAGTACTTAAGTTTTCTGTTGCCCTCTTATTACTATAATATATACATATATATTAATGTATTTAATATATGTAAAAAACTTTTTAAGAGGTACAAAAACTTAAGTTTTATTATATGGTATCATATCACTAATAGTGATACAACATAAATAATATGTCTAAAGACTTAAGTCCCTTCGCTACTTAAGCTCTGGTTTGTTCATATCACTTGAAACTTAAGAGAAGCTAAGAAATTATTTGATATCGTCCAAAATACGGATATGATATGCATAATTGATGTCCGTATCGTATCATATCGTTTTGATGGGGTAAAAAGGGTGGCTTTTTGGGGTTTTATTGCATATTCTGGGTTCCAATTGGCCACCTAAGTGAGTTTTAATTCAGTCTGCTTACGAAGGACCGAAGGTTTTCGCGTTCTGTAGCATCTCTCTCTCTCCCCTTGCGCTTTTCGCTGACGGCCGTTTACAGACTCTTGTGGCGTCAAGTATGTCCCGCTTGGTGTTGTGCCAGACAGCATTACTAGTACTGTTAGTGTGGATTTAAGGTTACGCGCTCATCGTTGCCCTCCAAAGGTGTGTGCTCTTCTTTTCCCATATTTCTTGCTCTAAGCCATTGTCGTTAGCGGCTGGAGTCGCTCGCAGAAGCGCAGAGCTGCCATGTTCATCTGCGTTGTGCACGTCCTCGCTGACCGCCGTTTACACCTAGAGCCTAGAGGCGCGTTTTGCCAGCTTTTTCCTTTGTCATTACTCAAGACGAGTGCCCAGTGGTGTTCATTTGAAAGGCGGGAAAGTACTGCCAGAAAGGTTGTTAGCGCTCCGCAAGAATTTGAGGGCGCGAGGGGCTTGTTTGCGAGACGGCATGCTGAGAGTGGAGTTTTCGGCCGGCGGATACGCTGCCGCGGCCTGTCTTGCTTGCGGTGGGGACACGCGGGAGAAGGGGCGGGGGAGGACAGCAGGCGTTAAGCGCAGCACGTGCCACTCCTAGTCGACGCGCGCGGCAGGGGAGGAAGAAAAGAAGCGGAACCACGTGTCCCGGCGCCAACGACGCCGGTGGCTGTCGCACGTTTTTCACTTGTTGCCCACTCGTTGCTCGCTGTATTCACAGAAGTTGTTGACCATGAATACACATAACTCGCCGTCCTCCCACTGGGAAGCACGCACGGGCGTCGCACACTTGAAACGAACGTCTAGAGATTCAGCGATGCGGCATATATTACAAGTTCAATCTAAAGTAAGAAAGGAAAAGTCCGGCTGGCTAAACGGCGACCGTGACATCGATGCTGCTGCGTGCGACGCTGGTGCGGGTCTCATCCGAGTTCTTGGCCTTCTCATGACCGTCCTTCTCGTTGTCAGAGGCCGTCGCGGCAGGCGCGGGGAGGAACCAGCCGGGGTGGACGAAGTTCCAGGTGAAGATGGCAAGGACGATCATGGCACCGTCGAGCGCATTGAAGTAGACTTCGGTGCGGATGATGCGCCCGCCCCAGCCCTCCGCGAGCTCGACGACCCGGTAGACGGACCGGACGATGAACACGAGCGTGCTGAATGCGAGGCCGTAGAGCATTACTTTCGTGCGTGTGGGAATAAGTGTTGGGGCTGGGGTAGCGTCGGCGGCAGCGGGGCGCCATGGCCGGGAGATTTGTCGCCGGATGAGGAAGTCGGCGACAAGGAGGGTGAAGAGGATGACAACGGCGAACTGGAAGCCGATACCGCCGAGCATGATGTCCGAGCCTTTATTCGCCTCGTCGAGCGTGACAGCGGCAGACGCGAGTCCGCCGCCAACGCCCTGGACAACGAGCGCGACGAGGTCACACGACACGAACACCCACGCGTACCACCGGGCAGGGAGCAGTGAGTACTCCGGCCCGAGCTGCCGGACGATGCGCGAGAATATAATGAAGCTCGCGGCCAGCAGCGGCGTGGGCGCGATGATGGTCGTCGAAATTTGCATCTTGAACGGCGTGTCTGCGTATGGTTCTGAAGAGCTCCACACCCGCGCAACCCACCCGATTAGCTCCCCCGCGCCGCAGAGTACAGCGGTCGGCAGCAGGAACCACGTGCGGAAGTAGAGCGCTTGGCCAAAGTGTAGCACTTGGAAAAAAAAACATCAGAAAATAGACAGAGCAAAAGGAGGGCACACACCAGTGCTGACGCCGAAGAGCGCGATGAACATGATCCCGAGTGCCTCATTCGGTATGTACCCGTAAGGCAGCTCCGGTTGCATCGGGGGCATTCCCATCGTCTCGTTCATGCCGAGCCCGCCCGCCTCGCTCGGTTCTTCAAGTTCCTCCAGCTGGCGCGCCATCAGGGCAAATACAAGTGACGCTGCCATGCGATGAGTCAGCCTCGCCCAAGCGGTGGAAACACAACGCACCCATACTATCGATCGCGGATGTAATTTAGTTGGACGAAGGAAGGGGAGGGAGGGTGTGAATTTCGGACAGCCGCGCCGCTTCCTCCCTTTTTATCAACCCATGTCAGGCTTGCGGATGACTAAGGTCAAGCCCACTGGCAGGCCTAGGAAGCCCTCCTATTGAATACGCAGCAGCGACGCGCGACGGGAGCAGCACATCATGCCCTCAATTGCATGGCAAATTGCGCACTTCTCGCCCTGCCGTTGCGCACTTCTTGCCCCATGCGCAGTCCGCAGCGCCACCGAGAATCAGGGCCATGGCCCATGATTTCCGCTCGGGCTCCACGGCGCGCAGCGTCCCTCAGGCCTCAGGCTTGGCGTGGCTTCACAATGACAGTGGCCCGCCGGGCCAACGTGTCGTTGTTGACAGGTGGCGCTGACGAAGGATGATGCTGTGACTATTCGTCACGTGCTGTAACCCATCACTCCGGAAATATGTATGTACTATATATTTTTTCCAAAGTGCAAAGTTTGGATGTTTTGTTCTGTATTGTCCTTGAAAGAGACATTTGACATTATAATTATGCTGAAGTAGGATTAATTTATGATAAATAGTGGACAAAAAATATATATTTTCACAACTTGGAACAATAATAAATAAAACTCTAGGAAAATATACTTGATTTGTAAAGAATTTGGGCATGTATTAAGTCATCAGATTGGACTGAACTCAGAGCCAATATCAGCTGACAATTTTATGGCAATAATATGCAATAAATAAATGCACCAAATATGTTACAAGATATAAGACCAGGAATATCAAAAAGCTGGGCCAGCACCAAACTGTACCTAATATATCAGAAATAAGTGACAAATTGCCATTATATATGACAAATCACCCTTATATATGACAAATTGGGGTAATAATAATGTGACACTATTTGTAAGGGCAACCCTGGAGACTCCGACGAAAGCCTAGCAGGGGAGGATCCAGAGCGTGAATAAAAGCTACGGAAATACACGGAGGGACCGACCTAGCAGGGGAGGATCCAAAGAGAAGAAACTCTAAGGGTCCGCCTGCTAGGGCGCCAACTATATACTGGTCGTCCATAACTGCCGACGTAGAGCGCAGAAGGCCTGAGCGGCGTCGCAGGCTCTGTCCCAAGGTGATCGTTGGGAGGGTCTTGACAGATCGGTGATTGTGCGGGCGAAGGAGGCCGTGGACGATGGTCGGGGTGGGTCGGAGCGTCCGAGGGGGCGCCGGTCGGATGTGCCTTGGATGCGCTTGGACGGTCCGAAGGAGGCCAAAGCAGGGGTTCCCCTGACACTATTTCTTGACAAATATTTGGGCTTGAATAATATACACTTATTGTTTAAAAAAACATGGTCCAGAATGGGGTAGTCATTATGTATGTGATATTTGATACCATGATATAGAACTTGATTTCTTGTAAATCAGATGTAATTTTTGCAGCTTTCATTGCATAACAATCAAAGTAGCACAAAAGGCCATTGTTTTGGACCATTATTTCTTATATATATATATCCTGCTTACATGACCATTTTTTGGCTGAAACCCTGGTGTATATGATGCCAGTCACAAAATCTTATACTGACCTTGCACAATAACACAAGAAATGACTTAGAAGTTAGAGCCTGGGGTCTCAGAGATATTGCCATTTTATAGCCCCCTTTGTCAAACCCTGGGTTCAAAAACCCTTTTTCTTCGCCTTTTAAACCTTTTATTTTGGCCCTGGTTGATAAGATAAGACAAGGAGGAGATAAGATGGACGATAAGATGGTGATTGGATCATCAGATGTCGATGCTGATGTTGATTGACAGCGTGGAGTTGAACATGAGGCAAACAGCACGTAAAGGCATGGCTAAAGTATGACGTCATTGCCTCTCGTATTAGGCATGGTAAACACATGGTAGTAGTGTATATAAGTAGAGTAGATTTCGTCTTGTGCCCCAGTCTTCGAATTGCATCATCTTTACGATATCTTTTCACGGTGCTTCTTGCTTGCCTTCACTGGCCAACTGGCATCCTCTGAATTGGTGTTGTTTGTGACATAATTCGAAGACTACCCTCCTACCCTCGTACCTTCCTACCTCCTACCACCTACCCAAACCCCTCCCCTACCCCGTTACTATCGCCAAATTTCCCACACCTTTTTCCCACGCCCTCTCCCCTTCTGCTCTAGGTCGTTACTCTAGGTCTTTTGCTCTAGGTTTTTCTTCTTGGCTAGGTACACTCGGAGACGACAATCCAAGGGACCCACTCGAGAGGACACGCGCTTCGTACTTGCAAGAGAGACGTCTGGCCCAACCCAGGTGCTTTCGTAGAGTCATAGCTGCTACAAGGAGTGCAGGGGCAATCTTCGGAGAACCCTAGTTCGTCCAGCGCAGGGTGTGTCGTAGAAGGCCCCGGTGGATTCCTCTCACGCAACAGGTCTCTTGGACCCCCGACAACGGACTCTCCGGTCCATCCTCTGTGGCGCTCTCCGCGCTTTGATCCCTGACCTCTGGTCAGGGGCTCCTTCTGAGGAGTCTTCAAGAAATTCTACACCCCCTCTCTCTCCCCTATCCCCTCTCCATTCAACCACTTTTACCTCGACTCTCTTCCTCCTTCTCCAATCTCCGCCCTAGCTACTCTTGCCATTGCTCCTACCTCCATAACCATACCACAACCCACACCCACATCTGCACCCCAACCACCAACCAATATGTCTCTCGCGTCATACTTGCGAACCCCCCTCCTCTCTTCTCTGGCGAGAAATCGCTTTTGGGAAAATTTCTACGACTCTGTCACAACCTATATTGCGGCATACTCTGATGCGCTCGACACAGATCACAAACGAATTTGGTTTTTGGTCTCATACCTTCGATCCGCAGATGCCTCTGCATGTACGGCAGCTGACTGGGTGCGCAACTGGAAAAAGCGAACCCTTAAGAGTGGTGTGCTTGCGGCCACCTATACATTTGATGATCTCATCATGGAGCTGGAACTCTCGTTCAAGGACACGAACATCGCACAGGCGGCGCATCTGAAGTTGACGACTACTCGTCAAAATAAGATGTCGCTGACCGATTTCTTCCAGTCATTCGAACTGCTGGCAGAACAGGCAGGCTATAGTCCCAATGCCAAGCCTTGTGCATATGACGCGTTCCTGATCCAGCTTCTTGAGGAGTTAGTCAATACGGAGATTACTGGTCCTATCTATGTGGGAGGCACTGCCCTGCCCAAGACCTATCTGGAATGGAAAGAGCGTCTGATGCAGATCGACGCGAACTTGTCTCAGAACAGGCTGCGTTTGGGCCGCCGTGGACAGACATTTGGATTCATTCCCCAGTTCCAACGTACTCCGCCCGCCGCCCCACGTGCCCCAGTACCACAAGCTGCTGCGCCTGCCAAAGACCCCGATGCCATGGACGTCGACCGCGCTCGACAGAAGTGGAAACCTCTGCGCTGCTTTAACTGTGGCAAAATTGGCCACATTAGTCGCAACTGCCCGGACCCCCCTCAGAAGAAACTCAGCGTCAGGGCCTTGATGGCTCAGGTTGATGAGGGTGACAAGTTCGACGGCACGTTGGCGCAGTTGATCCAGAAGTTGCGCGAGGCGGGTTTTTAAAGCGCTCCTCTCCCCTGGCCAAGGAGACGGAGCGATCTGAAATTGTTGATTCGAAATATGGACGTTATTCTCCTCTCAGTAAATTAAATGCGACTTCCAATATGCCTGCTACGGACTCTTTTTATTGTACCGACTCGGACTCGTTACGAAAGGACATACATGAATTCCTTTACAACTCTCGTCGTATCCATGTTTTGCAAAATCAGAATCGTCTTCATAACTTAAAGGAACAAAAGCGTGCTGAGAAAGATGAGTGGTGGACTGAGTTCCAAAAGGCCTGCGGAGAAAAAAACCGCATCAACAAAGACTGAGAGAGGAAGTGAGGAGGCGGAAGCTGATGTGACTGTACCTCCAGTCCCAGCGCACACTAGGGTTCGAGACTCTATCCGGATGCAAGAGGCTGCTGCGCGACAAGCTAGAGCCAAGCCAGATCGTCTTAGTCAGGAACTGAAAGACTTTCAACGGGAACGTAAACGCTATGAGATGTTGGTCCCAATAACTCTCATGGTTCCCGAGACTGGCAAGGTTCGCGCAATAAAGGCTTTGCTTGATAATGGTTGTACAACGACCTGCATTGACCGAGCATATGCCCAAGCAGAAGGATTTGAGTTGAAAGAGCTGGACTCTCATATTATTGCCCGCAATGCAGACGGCACCGAGAATACTCATGGCAAAATAACACACTATGTCGAACTATGCATGGGTGTTGGCGATCATTGGGAAATGCAATGCTTCCTTGTCACTGGACTGGGTAAAGCCCGTGTCTTCATTGGATATGACTGGCTTCTTAAACATAACCCGGAAATTGACTGGCGTTCCCAAAAGATCAAGTTTTCTCGCTGCCCTGTTGAATGCAATGCTCATGATGAAGAGTTCCAAGCTGACCCTGATCTGGAAGAAGGAGAGTCGATCTTGCTCGTGGACTTTGGTCCAGCAGTTGATCTCCGACTGAAGGAGACCCAAGCACAGCGAATGGCAGAAGAAGCTGGTCGAAACAAAGAACGAATGACCGAGGAGAAGATTCCCAATCAGTATCGAGAGTTTGTCAAAGTGTTCGCTAAAGAATCATTTGACTCTCTACCTGAACGTCGTCCGTGGGATCATGCAATCGAACTTAAGCCAGACTCTAAGGCTGTAGATTGCAAAATCTATCCTCTGTCTCGTGATGAACAAAGAGAGCTCGACAATTTCCTGGAAGAAAATCTAAAGAGCGGACGCATCCAACCATCAAAGTCACCGATGGCGTCCGCCTTCTTCTTTGTCAAGAAAAAAGACGGCTCTCTTCGACCTGTGCAAGATTATCGGAAGTTAAACGAGATGACGATTAAAAACCGTTATCCTCTGCCCTTGATCTCTGAGCTTGTCAATAAGCTCCAAGGTGCCCGATACTTC